TTTCTGGTCATTAGAAAGAGGAAGAAGCCTATCTATTACTCTCTGTAATTAGATAGAAATGTTTAACTCAGAGGAGCTTCAAACTGCATGCAAAAAAAAAAAAAAAATGAAATCAACCGGCACTAGAATATTTAAAACATCACTACTGCCATCTTTATCACACAGCACACCAATTACAAGTGATAGAACCCAATTATCAATTGTACACATCCTAATCATACTCTGCCACACAGTCTCTTCTATGCAAATTAAAAAATAAATCTCTCTCCAATTTGTGTTCCTGTTTCTAAATTGTTAAACCTCCTTTTATTTGTGTGTGTGTGTGTGTGTGTGAGAGAGAGAGAGAGAGAGAGAGAGAGAGAGAGAGAGAGAGAGAGTCCTGGGGCTGGAACTCAGAGCCTGGGCACTGTCCCGGAGCTTCATTTTGCTCAAGGCTAGCACTCTGCCACTTAAGCCACAAGGCTAGTGCTTTACTACTTAAGCCACAACGCCACTTCTGGCTTTTTCTGAGTAGTATATTGGAGATAAGAGTCTCACAGATGTTCCTGCCCAGGATGGTTTCCAATTGTGTTTCTTACATCTCAGCCTCCTGAGTAGCTAGGATTACAGGTATAAGCCACCAAGCACCTGGCCTAAAGTTCCTTTTAGAAGCCCCTGTCCCATCAGCCTCACACAGAGTAATCTCAGGTACGTGGATTCACAGAAGCACTCCCAGCCTCAACACTGTTTTGTGGTCTGCATATTTTAAATTCTCTCCTTCAAGCTCTTGTTTTCTCTTCCCGGTCTTACTTCCAAAATTCCCCTTGCTATTTTACTTGGTTCCTTTCTCTCTTTCTACCACATTCCACTACAGAATCTTTCCCCTCTTTTGGAGAACCACTGAGCTCTGAGTCCAGAACTCAGCCTCCCGGGGGCTGCTTTGGGACCCTTGTGCATCGCTCAGCCCTAAGGCAATCCAGTACTGTTCGCTCACTGCAGGTGTTTGCAATGCTATTCAACAACAGGTGGCAAGTGTCTATATTTCAAGGGGAAAAAGAATCTCAGATTAAAAACCCTGTAATAGCTGGGTGCCAGTGGCTCACACCTGTAAACATAGCCACTCAGGAGGCTAGGATGTGAGAATCATAGTTCGAAGCCAGCCTTGACAGAAAAGTCTGTGAGACTCTTATCTCCAATAAACTACTCAGAAAAAAAAAACCCAAAAGTGGCACTGTAGTGCAAGTGGTAAAGCCCTAGCCTTGAGCACAAAGAGTCCCTGAATTCAAGGCCCAGTACAGAAAAGAAAAGGAAAAGAAAAAAAAAAAAGAAAGAAATTAAAAAAGAAAAATCCTACAAAGACCAGAAAACTAACCAACCTGACACACTTTACTTAACAAAATAAAGATTTAAAATTATCACATCAGGCAGAGTGCTTGTGTAGCAAGCAAAAAGACCCTGAGATCAAACTTCAGTACCATCAAAATATAAATATATAATTTTATCAAAATGATGCATAAATCATTTTCTCCATGTTTAATATTCCCCAAACTGTACAAAAATAAAAGATATAATTCTTTGTGTTTTGCTCATAGTCCTGGCCTCAGATGTGTGATCCTCCTGCTTCTGCCTTCCAAGTGCTAGGATTACAGGCATGTACCACTCCACTTGGCAAAGACATAATTTTTTTTTAATTTTTTTTATATCATTTTATTTTTTTTTGTGAACATACTGTACAGAGGGGTTACAATTACATGGGCAGGATAATGCTTACATTTCTTATCAAGCATTGCAGCCTCCTCCTTTGTTTACCCTTCACATCCCTTCCCAGCCTCCCCCCCCCCACCCCCCCACCCAATCCGTTGTAAAGCTCGTTTTCGACATGACAACTTGTATTTCTCATTGTTGCAACAGGTCCACCTGTATCCTTAAACGACTTGTTTTTCCCCATCTCCTCCACAAGTTACACTGACATCAAATATAGTGAAAGCAGGGGTTATACTGTGGGGGAGGGACATACAAAGCAACAAAGAGATAATCTTATAAATGCATTAGAAACAAATGCATAAAAGAAAAAAACATTAAAATACATATCTAAGGGTTCGTTTTCCTAACATCACATTATCTGACCTTTTCCGCTTGACTCATACATATACTAGATATTGCAAATAAGGGAAACCATGGGACCTATGTTTCTTTGGGCCTGGCTTACTTCACTTAATATAATTTTTTCCAAGTTTTTCCATTTCCTAACAAATGGGGCAATGTCATTCTTTCTGATGGAGGCATAGAATTCCATTGTGTATATATACCACATTTTCTTGATCCATTCATCTACTGAGAGGCATCTGGGTTGGTTCCATATCTTAGCTATGGTAAATAATGCTGCAATAAACATAGTTGTGCTGGTAGCTTTAGTGTGGTCTTGTTTGTAAACATTTGGGTAAATGCCCAAAAGTGGGATTGCTGGGTCATAGGGGGAGCTCTTTGTGAAGTCTTTTGAGGAACCTCCATACTGCTTTCCAAAGTGGTTGAACAAGTTTACATTCCCACCAACAATGAAGTAAGGTTCCCTTCTGTCCACATCCCCTCCAGCATCTGTTGTTGTTAGAGTTCTTGATTTTTGCCATTCTAACTGGAGTGAGGTGGTATCTCAATGTTGTTTTGATTTGCATTTCTTTTATGGCTAGGGATGTTGAGCATTTCTTCATGTGTCTATTGGCCATCCTTCCTTCTTCTTCAGAGAAGTTTCTCTTTAAGTCTTTCGCCCACTTATTTATTGGGCAGTTGTTTCTTTGAGGATTTGTTGTTGGGGGGTTTAATTTTTTGAGTTCCAAGTATATTTTAGATATGAGACCCTTGTCCGTTGTATGGCTAGTGAAGATCTTCTCCCAATCCGTGGGCTTTCTATTGATCTTGCTAGCTATGTCCTTTGCCCTGCAGAAGCTCTGCAACTTCATGCAATCCCATTTGTCCAACCTTTCTTTGATTTGTTGTGTTTCCGGAAGACATAATTTTTTATAAGAGTTCATCCTGGCTCTAGTCGTGTGTCTCAACTTAAGCAATCATTTCACCAATAAGCCCAAGATTGTTTTTGCATTAAGCATTCCTACATGCTTATACATTTACATGGTTGTCAAAGAAAATTATGTCCACTTCTGAAACCTCTAAAACAGAGTCTGGATGATCAACACCATGCTGAGCTAACAGCAGAACTAACCCGCCACCCTATGCAGGCTGATTAACTTAGCTGCCCCCTCCCCGAAAAAGTCAATGAGAAAGAAATACTTCTTTCATTTCTGACTTTGTTCACTCATACCTAAACTCAGAATAAATTTTACTCAAAGTGTACCCATAAATTAGGACATAACCAGGGCTAGGAAGGTGGCTCAGTGGTAGAGTGCTTGCCTTGCATGAATGAGGCCCTAGGTTCGAGTCCTCAGCACCACCTAAGCAGAAAAGGCCAGAAGTGGCGCTGTGGCTCAAGTGGTAGAGTGCTAGCCTTGAGCTGAAGAAGTGAGGGACAGCACCCAGGCCCAGAGTTCAGGCCCCACGACCGACCAAAAAAAAAAAAAATTTTTGGACATAACCACATTTTTCAAATGCATTTTTAGTGACATATTTAAACACCTTAAGTTCTTACAAGCAAAATAATTCTGGTAGTTCAAGGACAAAATTCAGGCAAACAGTAGGCTAACTCAGGATTAAACAAAAATAATAAAGGAGACGTGCTCCCTACCTGAGATCTTACAATCAAGGATAATAGAAATAGATAAGTGTTTATTGAAATAGAAATAGTTTATTGAAATAGAAATAGAAATAGTTAAGTGTTTATTGGACAAACCTGATATATAGATATGAAGCAAAACTATTTTAAATGTCCATATAAACATTACAGTCAGAAAGTATACCTTCCAACATAAAATTGGCTCCAAGTTTTAAAAAAAATACATGTGAGTTGTGACCTCATTATGCAACCATTAATGAAAACGTAATTTCAAATTCAGCACATTCCCTGTGAGTGAATTAAAACAGTGTCTTATTATTTCTACAGTAGTAGATTGGAACCCCTATATCTTGAAGGAATGCTGGTGATAATACTTGTAATATGCAGGTCCTGTGGGGGAAGTGTGGCTTAACATGTGCTTGTAAGATGTCAGGAGACCAGGCTAAAGGCCCAAACTCTCAATTATGACTTCATAGTCTACCGAGAACATCAAGGCTGATTTTGAAGGAAAAAAAACATGCTGAAATTATTATAATATTATACTCAAATGTGGTACTTTTTGGTGTTCAATAGATCTACTTTTCTGAGTCAAAACGAGAAACTGTGCAACATCCAATGACAAGTTCTTGACAATTTGAATTCTATAACATTTTCACCTATAAAATTCACTTAATCCTCATCTTTCACCAGGGCATTTTGCAATCCTTTTGAAACTATATATACTGTATTACTGAATATGAATATATATATATGCATATATATATATATATATACAGATACACACACACACATGATATACTAGATTGTGAGATTAGAGAGTTTATATTACATTCCCAAAGGAAACAGTTAGGAAAGATGAGTAAAGAACTTTAAGAAGCTTAAGGTTTCGGAAGTATTCATAGACTTATCCATTCAGCACCCATCCCTTGCTTTCCTGCTATGTAGAAGACACTGGGCAGAGAGGGTAGGCATTGAATAACTTAAGGAAGAAAAATTCCTTATGACAGCCTAATTCTACTTCACCCAACTTCCTTTTGGTTACAACAAATACTTAAGGGAAATGACTATTCAATTATTTCTGTATCAATGAATTTTCATTGTACATAAATCACATAGTTGCTGAGCTGGCCAAAAAGGGGCAGGGAAGACACCCTATTTCCAACGGAGCAAGTGAACTCTTCAACTGCATCTCCCATCATGGCCTATAAAAGGCTGGCCCTTCTAGCTTAAAGACACTGCTTCCTGACTGCCTGTGGCTCACTCCGCAGCAAAGCCAGCCATGTACACCTCCTCAGGGATGTCCCGGCGGCCGTCCTCACAGGCTGGGATGGCAGGCAGACCTAGGAGCATCTCTGCTTGTGGCATTGGAAGTGGCTCTGTGGCTGGCTGTGGAGGAGGCTTTTCTGCCGTGTCCATGTTCGGTTCTGGCTCTGGCTTTGGCGTCTGCTCTGCAAGTTCCCTGGCAGGACTGGGCACTGCTAATGGGGGATCCCAGGGAGGGAGCTTTGCAGGCCTGGGGATGGGATCTGGGGGCAGCTTAGGCGGTGGTGGCTCTCTGTATGTGCTCTCAGGCAACGATGGAGGCCTCTTCTCTGGATCAGAAAAGGAAACAATGCAAAATCTGAATGACAGGTTGGCTTCCTACCTCAATAAGGTCCGAGCTCTAGAAGACTCGAACTCGGAGCTAGAAAACAAAATTCGAGAATGGTACAAAACACGAGGATCTGGGACTGGGGATTCTGGATCGCGAAATGATTACAGTAAATACTTCCCACTGATTGAAGACCTCAGGAATAAGGTAAGAGTGTGTTTCCTGGGGGTAAAGGGGGGGGGCACACCTTGCATGCTGTTTCTCTTGTGTGCTGTTACAATATTTTACAGTGATAATTGCCTGCAATCTAGACGTCAAGTTACCCTGTACCTGGAGAATGTTCTCATCTCAGGAACACTTCTCATGTCTCCTACAACAACACACATTTCCACACCTTCTTGTAGGAAAATGCATATTTTCTTAAATTTTCAGTAATACTTTTATATTTTATTAAAAAGTGAAACTATCTTAAACTCTTGATTTAAAAAAAACGTATTGAACAGGACCATTAATGCCAAAATATAATAATATTCATATACTGCTAGTATTTTAGGACCTCATTGAATGTGTCTCCCTCACCAGATCATTTCAGCCAGCATCGGGAATGCGCAAATCATCTTGCAGATTGACAATGCCAGGCTGGCTGCCGAGGACTTCAGAATGAAGTAAGGACAGACTGACCATAACTGAACCTATCCCACTACCTCTTCTTAGTCCATCTTCCTGTCGCTGATGACAGCAAAATTCCCAATCTTCTGAAATGCACATGATCCATACATTGGTTCTAAAAAGCAATTCCACACAATTCACATTACACGCCCTTAAAATCTTAAGTCATTTATTCTTTCTAGATCACGATGGTAATTCTTTCAAAGTCCTAAACCTGAATTTTCAATATATCTGAATGGATGAATAATGGTTTTGCTGAGGGGTTAAATGGAATGATTGTTCCATTTAATGACTGTTCCATTGTTCCTGATGACACATACACCTGAAAGATTAACCACGCACAGATTTTTATTTTTCCCATACCCCACCCTCCAAGACATAGAAATTAATTTCCTTTTTGAATTACAAAACTTCTACATAAGAGGTTTGCAGGAATGGTGGTCCCGAACCTATAAAGTCTTGGTAAAAGCTTCTAAGGGCTTTCAAGGCTTTAATTAAATCATGAAGAAAATTAGGCAAACGGAGTATTTTTTTCAGCTGCTTTCAGGATGCTATTAGAAAGCCAATTTACAAAGAAGGACTCCAGCTGTGTCCAGCCACAGCCACCAACCAGCGACCTATTCCCTGGGGTACACTGCTGTTGAGGCTCATTGCTATTTTCTCACCTTTCTCTTCTCCATCTGAGCAGTAAACTATGATACTAAAAAAGAAAGGAGAAAATTATGAAAGCAAAACTTGTAACATACACTGTGATGTTATTTAGGGTTTTTGTTTATTTTTCCAGTCCTGGTTTGAACTCAGGGCCTGGGCACTGTCCCTGAGCTTCTTTTGCTCAAGGCTACCACTCTAACACTTGAGCCAGTGCCACTTCCAGCCTTTCCTGTGTATATGGTACTGAGGAATCGAACCCAGGGCTTCATGCATGCAAGGCAAGCACTCTACCACTAAGCCACATTCCCAGCCCCGATTGCTGCTATTTCTTAAATACTGGCACTGGTTCGGGCATGAAGAGAGCAGGCTCTTTGTCCAGTCAGTAACACTGGTCCCCTAACCTGATTTACACTTTGTTGTCAGGTATGAGAATGAGCTGGCCCTGCACCAGACTGTGGAGGCTGACATCAACGGGCTGCGCAGGGTGCTGGATGAGCTGACCCTGACCAGAGCCGACCTGGAGACGCAGATCGAGAATCTCAAGGAGGAGCTGGCCTACCTGAGGAAGAACCACGAGGAGGTCAGAGTCACTCACTCCCCTACCCTAGACCCCAAAATTACAATTTCAAATTTGTAAGTCTGTAGTTTCAATATGGAAGATACATTATCTTCCTGGTAAAATGGCCACTGGTGTTGGAGTTCTGTGTGTGTGAGTGTTTGTACACACTGGTGATGATGATGATGATGATGATGATGGATGATGGTGGGGTGGCAATCATGGTGCCATTGCTTGAAGTTCCTATTAAGGTTTAACAAATTAGAGGAACTTTCTGATTTTAACATTTACATTATTGGGTAATGACAGTAATATTGTAATTATTGATCTCAGAATGCTAAGTTAGAGAAACTGAGTGAACAGTGTGAGACACACATGTAGAACTCTGGTATGCCACTGTGTGTGTGTGTGTGTGTGTGTTTGTATGGGGGGGGAAGAGAGAGAGAGAGAGAGAGAGAGAGAGAGAGAGAGAGAGCAGGGAGAGAGAGCAGGGAGCTGGGAGCAAGGCTGGTACACAGAATGGACCAAAGCAATAGTCTTCTAAAGAAGTTCCACATCATTCTCAATGTCTGTGTGCAGGTCCAGGTACTTCCTGCAGCCCTGGCATTGGCACAGGCTGTTGAAACTCTCCATCCCCTGCACACACAGCTGGCCTTGCCTTCCTGTAAAGGCAGTGGAATACAGTCCTTAGGAGCACTGCCAGCTGACCAGCTCCACTCACAGGCACCACACCGAGAACCTGAAGCAAATTAAGGGACCTGTGAAGGCATCTTATGTTCTTTTTAAATCTGAAGAAAAATATTTTTTTAGGTTTTTAGAAAGTTTTTATTAATCGATTAATCTTTACAATATGATAGAGAGAGAGAACACTCAGCCCTTTTCCCTCCTTGGTATGAAGGCTTGAACTCTAAGTCTAGGCACTCTCCCTTAGCTTTTTCAACAAGGCTAGAGCTCTACCCAAGGAGTCACAGGTCCACTTCCAGCCTTTTGGTAGTTAATTGAAGATGAGAGTAAGTTAATTCACAATCCTCAGATTGCAGCCTCCTGAGTAGTTAGGATTACAGGCGTGGGCCACCAGTCCCCAGCCAGTATTTCGGTTTTGAAATAGAATCTTCCTTACTTTGCTGAGACTGGTGTAGCTGGTATTACAGGTGTAAGTCTGTAATCTTTTATCATTTCTGGTTTTCACGGAGCCTGATTAATTTTTAGTATCTCTGTGTTGCAAGAGGACTAGAAAGGCAAAAGTATTGGGAGCCCACTGTTGAATTCACGGTCGACCCCTGCACCTCTTTCTTCTTCCTCCCTTGTGGTACCAGGAGCTCCAAAGCTACCGGGCAGGCAGCCCAGGTGAGGTCAGCGTAGAAATGGACGCTGCACCAGGACTGGACCTCACGGGGATCCTCAACGACATGAGGGCGCAGTTTGAAGCCGCCGCGGAGCAGAATCGGAAGGATGCAGAAGCCTGGTATCTGGAAAAGGCAAGCCAAGAGACCAAAGCTTCTGATGCACTGGCAGATGGAGGTGAGTGGGCTGGGGCGCTCACCCCCTGAATCCCGCCCCCCACGTTGCCATTGCAGAGCGGGGAGCTCAGGAAGGAGATCAGCAGCAACACCGAGCAGCTGCAGTCCAGCAAGAGCGAGATCAGCGACCTGAGGCGCGAGCTCCAGAACCTGGAGATCGAGCTCCAGTCCCAGCTGGCCATGGTAGGCTGTGGGAGTCCTGGGCCTGGGCGGGCGCCCCTGTCACGGTGTGCTGCCGGCCATGCGCTGCGCTCCCCTGCCGTCCCTCACTGCTTGCTTCCTTCCTTCGTGCAGAAGAAGTCCCTGGAGGAGTCTCTGGCCGAGACCCAGGGCGACTACTGCGGCCAGCTGTCCCAGGTGCAGCAGCTGGCGGGCGACCTGGAGGAGCAGCTGCAGCAGGTGCGCGCCGACGCGGAGCGCCAGAGCGCGGAGCACCAGCGGCTGCTCAACGTCAAGGCCCGCCTGGAGATGGAGATCGAGACCTACCGCCGCCTGCTCGAGGGGGAGGCCGAGGGGTGAGTCCCACCCGGGCTACAGGAGGCCTCTGCGGTAGGAGGAGAAGGAGGACTCTTCAATATATAGAAAATAGCAACCCCTGCTGCGGGGAGTGTTGGTGCATTGATGACACTGGGGAAGTTGAGGAAAGGAGAGAAAGAGGGAGGGAGGGTAAGTGGGGAGGGTGGAAGGGAGGGGGAAAGCAAAGAAAATAAGGAAGGAAAAAAAGAAAGAAAGGAGGGAGGGAGGGAGGGAGGAAGGAAGGAAGGGGAAAACAAATCTAGGATACACTTGCCTAGAACTTACTAAATTACTGTGCAAAGAGTTGTCACACATTATCTTGATAATAATTCATAAAATGCTGCAATGAACAAAGGCACCACAGACTGAAGTTTATTGCACGTTCCTTTTTAAAAGAATCAGACCATTTGATGATCTGGTGCTAAAGAGGTCACATCAAGCAGGAATTATTCAGATTTGTCATAGCAAACCTCCCAAAAGTCATAGTGCTCTGGACTGGAGGGGAGGACGTCAGGATTGGTGACTGGGACATCCAATTTCTAGGACCAGGTCTTCCACTGATTGCCAGGTCCCTTCTCTTCCAAACCAAGGCATGGTTTGGAAATGTAGGTTGGCAAGCCATCTGTTTTGCTGTTGGACTATATCCCTCCACAAGAAGTCTGGGATCCCTTATCTGTTTTGTCATAGCTTTATAGGATTTTTTTTTCTAATTTTTAGCGCAAATAGCAAATTCCCCTCTCGTCTTCTCATTTGGATAAGCATCAACCCAAGGTCATATCTCATTGTTTTTGTTACAGTGCTGAATTCGATGAAAGCTTGCTTGTGTTGAGCAACAAGTCTCAAGCCGGGTCAATTGATTCCTCTAAAGGTATTTAGATAAGAGCCACTGACAAGTCAGGTTCTCACGTAGTCATGTAAAACTCGCAACTCTTATTGTAAAGATCAGTACTGATAGCATAAAGCAGTGGTGTATTCTTGCAGCAAAATGAATAGTGTATTAAAAAATTTTTGTCAGGCCCAGGAGGGAAGAAAAACCATTATACAAAGAAGTATTAAAGAGCAGCACAATCATTTTTTGAAGTATTGTTTAATGTACTGGGTGTGATGGTAATCCCAGCACTTGGGAGACTGAGATAGGAGGATCAGGAGTTTGAGGCCAGACTCAAACTTTGATGTCCTGTCTCAAAAAAAAAGGAAAAAAAAAGAAAATCATTTTATTCCTACAGAGGATAATGCTGAGTAAGGGTCACTTTCACTGGATAAAGCTATTTTTAAAAAAAAAATAGAAGTTACTTTTGAAAGTTTCAATTTGGTGGATTGTATTATTCACACTCAATTCAGAAGCTTCAACAATAATCAATTTCAGATTAATATTTGAAACACTAGCTGGGCGCTGGCGGCTCACCAGTAATCCTAGCTAACCAGGAGGCGGAGATCCGAGGATCATGGTTCAAAGCCATCCCAGGCAGGAAAGTCTGTGAGCCTCTTATCTCTAATTAATCACAGAAAAAGCCGGACGTAGAGCTATGGTTCAAGTGGTAGAGCATTAACCTTGAGCAGAAGCAGCTCAGGGAGAGTGCCCAAGCCCAGAGTTCAAACCCCAAGACCAGAAAAAAAATGAAACACTAATGTACACCTCCTTTTATTCAATGTTTATCTTTAGATCCACATAAGACCCGAAAAATCAAGACAATCGTGCAGGAGGTGGTCAACGGTGAGGTAGTCTCATCCCAAATCCAGGAAACTGAAGAACAAATATGAAATCCTACAAGATCAGCCCATGCTTCCTTAAGAAGAAGAAATTTACCACTTTCACAGTAAAACACTAGCCTAGTTTAATCTCTGCTATGACCTGTTTAATTTTCTATGAGTTCCCACATCTACTGAGTCCCTTTTGCACTTCTGAAACAATATTCCTTTGCAAGTTCCTGTGTTCACACTGGACTTCATTACAAACCAACATCACCTGCCATCTTTCTGGCCCAGGAATTGTCTTTCAATAAACTTTCTTCTGATCACCTGGTCCATTTAAAAAAACAAACACAGAGCTTTGATGAAGTAGTATTGTTAATAGAGCTAGCTTTAATAAAGATTGATAGCAATAACATGGGAGCATGTTTTCTTGATTCTCACAACAATATCAAGCGCCAGTATCAAATGTTAATGATTACCTACAGCCAAACACAGCACCAAGATGTTGAAGTTGGAGATTAAGTTTAAGAAGATTCTTCTGGAAGTTCTGTCCTGTTTATATCAACCCATTTGGATTGTCAATTTATATTGTCCACTAAAGGGGACAACAGTTATCCTGTTTACTTCCTAACATCTTTCATACAGTTAAGAAAATGCTTTTTGAGTGCTTACAGCATGCCCAATTGGAGATTCAGTGATGATTAAGACAGTCTTTACCTTGAAGTGTTCAGAGGTGACCAGAAAACAGTGACCCAGTGAGAGAGGTCTCCCAAAAGTTGGAAGGAGATATGGAGAAAGAAGTGGTCAGTTTGTGAGGGAGGAATTAAAATGCATACCAAAGCTAAGCAGACAGAGAGCAAGAGAAAGGAGACTGCGCATACATATAACAAGTCCCAAGGGTGGGAAGAAGCTTATTTGACTCCTTCTTCTAGCTGGCAGCAGTGAGGCCCAGAGTGGGGTTTCAACTGGAGCGAGTCAGACCCACAAAGTCAGCAACGGAAGCCAAGTTGTAGTTTGGGACAGAAGATAGCCAAAGTCTAAGCCATAGTAATGGAGCATTATATCAAGGGTGATTTGATCTAGGTTGCCAAATTCAAAACCCTAAACAAGAATAGGAGTGTGTGTGTGTGTGTGTGTGTGTGTGTGTGTGTGTGTGTGTGTGTGTGTGTGTGTGTGTGTGTGTGTGTGTGTGTGTGTGTATGGCTCTGAAGCCAGAGAGGGTTGAAATCATTGTTCTACTACTTAATAACAAGCAACATCATCTCTGCGTGCCTGTATTTCTTGATCTTTAAAGCACACATGGTAGTGATGACAGTAGCTGTCTGTTGGGTGGGTTTTGTGAGGACAAACTGAGGTAACAAACATAAAACATCAAGAAAACACTTAATTTTTGAGGGGTGCCCTTTTCTTTTCTTTGTTTTGCATACTGGGAATGGAACCCAAGGCCTCAGAGGTCCAGGCAAGCATCTTACCACTGAGCTACACTTCCACCCAGAAAGTATTCATATGATGCTCCCATTTTTGGTTAGTCTGGAACCGAAATGGGTTGGAGAAGCCTGGTGAACCATGAGCAGAGAGTGTTTAAGGAAGCCAAGGAGAGAGAAGGAATAGAGCTGAGTGCAAAACCCACAGGGGATTTTATTAAGCTTCTTTGAGCTGATTTGCTTCAGTAAACAGCCCTTTGCTGTTAGCCCTCCTAGTACTCTAAATGGTGTCTGGACCTCTGTTCATCTCACGGTATTCAGCCTGCAGTTCTTTCTCACCTTCCAGCACATGTCCAGGGAAAACCTGACCCTTCATACAAATAGATTATCCAGGTCTTACCTGAACCAAGTCTCCAGCCTCTAGTAACAAAGGATGGTGCTACCACAGTGTGCAAAAGTGCCTTAAACTAGTTGTGATTTGAAATAACACCTGCTTTCCTCACAGCTAAATCTGAGAGGTGTGAGGCCAAAGGAGATAGAGGTTTAAAAAAGATAAGTCCAGTGGCCGTTGTTTAGGCCATTGTTCAGCCCTTCTTTGGGAAACATTTCTACCTACAGAGCTGCTGAGAGGAGCTTTTCCTCAGACTCTTCTCTGTTCTCACGTTGGCTCCATCCTTCTCTCCACACTCACCCCCTAGGTAATAACTAGCTCCATGGCTACATTGATTACTTCTTGGAGTAGCCTCCAGAAGGCTACACCTCCTGGTTCTCTTGACCTCCTGTGGGAGGAGTGATAGATGTATAACTTTCAAGAAGAGGTGCAAGAGCATGTTAGCTGTGCTCTGGTCTTTTAAATTGCATGGTTGGTGGCAAGTCAGCTGAGACAAGCTTAAACCATGAAGTAAAAACCACATAGTATTCATGCATGCATGTATATCCATGCATGGTGGTGCATGCCTGTAATCCCAGTTACTTAAGAGGTGGAGGAAGGAGACTCACAAGTTCAAGATCAGCACTCACAAAATTCTTGAGACCATATTCCCAACACAAAATAAAAACAAAAGGGCAGGGGGCATAGCTTGAGTGGTAGAACACTTCTTAAGCAATCTCACAGCCCAGCATTCAACACCAATAACATGAACAACAAATCTATCATTTCATGGAATTTTTACTGAGGATCCAGTGGCTAGGGTTTTGTGGAACAGCAAGTTCTAAGCAAGTCCTTTTCTAATAATATCTGTCAAAACATTCAACAGTCTTCATTTGGCAAGAGAAAGATTGGATCTCTTATGTTCTAGGTTCACCTTGCCCTAGTTTTGCTGCCAAGAAAGGTCATTGGCACAGCATGTCTTAGTCTGTGTGGGCTGCTTGTACCAAAATACCTCAGTCCAAGGGATGAGTTATAAATGAAAACCATGTCTTTCTCACAGCTCTTGAGGCAGACTCAAGTGTCCACTAGAAGCTAAGTGCCAGTGGCACATACCTGTGACCCTAACTACTCAGGAGACTGAGATCTGAAGATGGCAGTTCAAAGCTAGCCCAGGCAGGAAAGTCCATGCAACTGAGAAGTGGCAGAGAGAAAAGGCTCAGACAGCACCCAGGCCCTGAGTTCAAGAAAAGAGTCCACTAGGGATCATAGGGCCTTCTCATTAGGCCCACAGATGCAGTAGGCTTTCTATGACCTCTCTAATCCCATCCACAAGGGCCCTGCTCTCAGAACCAAGGTTCTACCTATCACCTAACACTATCACACTGGTCATAAGATTTTAATTTACAAATTGGAGGGAGGAGAGGACACAAATTTTCAGGCCATTAAGTATAATCTCATGAAACACCATCCTGCATTTGCTAAACCACGTACCCCCAATCAACACAGGCCTGTCTTCAAGGAAAATAACTCACTCTTAAGAAAAACATCTAAAGGATCTAAACATCTAAAGGATCAGACAGCAGTCAAGATTACAGCCTACAATTATTTTTAAATATAAAATTTTAAATGTTTTTTAATTTTGTATGCATTTGTTGTAAAACAGTCTAGAAAATACAGTTTTCTGTATTTTCTGCTGAATTGTAATGTCTTAGAAATGGGAGGGAGGATTTTGGAGAGCATGTTATTATTTTCTATTGTGTAAAATTAAAAATGTTTAATAAACAGCCTGTCTGATGCTGGTAATCACAAAATGAAAGTGAATTTCAGTTATGCAAAACAAGTGGGTTTGCAAATAGGTCCTGGTAGGAAGGGAACTGCCTGGTTTCTAGGTCACAGGGTGCCAGTCGCACTTCTTTAGGCTTTGTAAGAGTGCCACCTACTGGAATCTAAGAAAAGGAACTTTTTTTTTTTTTTTTTTTTTTTGCCTGACCTGGGGCTTGAACTCAGGGCCTGGGCTCTTTCCTTAGCCTCTCTGTGCTCAAGGCTAGTGCTCTAGTGCTTACCACTTGAGCCAAGTGCCACTTCTGGCTTCTTCTGAGTAGTTTATTAGAAATAAGAGTCATGGACTTTCCTGCCTGGGCTGGCTTTGAACTGCAGTCCTTAGATATCAGCCTCCTAAGTAGCTAGGATTACAGGTGTGAGCCACAAGCACACGGCTAAGAAAGGAACTTTTAAAAACCACTGTTGTCACTGTACCCTGCATCTTGTATATACATTTGTCTAATCTGGGGAGGGGAAGAGGAATAAAAAAGGACACAGGATGACCCATTGCAACAATGATACCCACAGGACAGTATATTGGAAATGAACTTTACAACTTCAGGTGGGGGGGGGGGGGTTTTAGAAGGGAGGAGTGTGAGAGGTGGGGGAGGGAAGGGATAGTAGGAGAACAACAAGGGAAGGTGTAACAATGCTCGACAAGTAATGTACTCGTTGCCTTACTCATGTAACTGTAACCCCCTCTGTACAACATCTTTACAATAAAATAAAAACTTTAAAAAAACACTTGGGGGGGGGGGTGAACCACTTGAGATGTGCCCAGGACTAGAAAGTCTATTCAAACCAGGTGATAGAGAGGAGAGAAAAAATAGGAAAAAGCAAATTTAGAAAGAAAAAAACATTTACTTAATGAAATAACACTGCCTTACTTAACTCTCCAGAACATTCTATAACGCATAAAATGAAGTTTGTAAATAATGATTTAGTCATTATTTGGTGTTTAGAGCACCAGACAGCTTATCTTAACTACTCAGGCTCTTACAAATATACTCAATAGCAAATGATATTGACCTGTAAAATAAAGATTCCCAGACTGAGGGTGTAGGTCAGTGGCAGAGCGCTCACCTACCGTGCAGGAGGCCCTGGGTTCAATCCCCAGCACCAGGGATAGAATAAGTCTATCTTACAAGACTATTATAAAGGCTTCATTGACTCAATTCACACATGTCAGACAGTAAGCACTAAATGTTTGCTGTCTTCAATATAGAAAGAAAAAAACAAAATCACGCATGCTTTAATTAACTAATTTGCATATTCCCCCAGACATTTATTTTTTCCCTTCCCTTCATACATACTCATATGCAACTCCAATTTTGAGAAAGAAGTACGCAAACTATTTTCATCTTAAGTAATTCTCTTTGACAGATGGTTGCATCTTCTAATCTGACATATGGGCAGAAGATCATATTAATCCTGTTTCCCAAAAGTTGTGAGCA